TCTGTCTGTTTGTTCCGGCTAATCTCCGAAACGGCTGGATCGATTTCGACGGGACTTTAACTGGCAGATAGCTGAAGTTATAAGGAGTAACTTAGGCAACTTATATTTTAGAAAAAAATTAGGGTTTCACGTAACATAATTGAAACCCTAAATTAAACGCGGGCGAAGTCGCGGGTAACAGCTAGTTTTACATAAAAAAGGTGAGAAAGGTAACATCAATAATTACAGGCCCATTAGTCTTATTCCACACCTACATAAAATCTTTATTAAAATAATTGAGAACAGAATTAGTAGACAGCTAGATTCTCATCAGCCCCCCGAACAGGCTGGATTTAGACCTGGCTTATCCACCACCGACCACCTGTACGCTGTGCACCAAATCATTGAGAAACATACAGAGTATGAACTTCCTTTATATCTGGCTTTTGTCGACTACTCTAAAGCATTTGATAGTATAACACATAACTCTATTTTCAAGGCCTTACAAAATCAAATCAATGAACCCACTTACATACATTACTTTATAATATTTATAATAACAGTACCGCCGCAATAAAATTGAATACCACAGGGACTTCTTTACCTATTCTAAAAGGAATTAAACAGGGCGACCCGTTATCGCCGAAACTCTTCACTACCACCTTAGAAGAAGTATTTCGGAAACTGGCAGATAGTTGGGTCGAGAAAGGCATCAAGATCGGATCAAAAAGGTTAAGCAATCTTAGATTTGCTGATGACATTATTCTCTTACAGTCCTCGGCCAACGAACTGGGAGAAATTCTCAACGAGCTACGAACAGCTAGCCTGGAGGTTGAACTTCTGATCAACATAGAAAAGACCAAGTTAATGACAAACCATGTCAAGCATAGGATACATATAGATGGCGTGAAAGATGAATATGTTCATGAGTATGTTTATTTGGTTCAAGTGGTCGATTTTCAGACGAGAAACAAGAAAAAGAGATCGCCCGACTAATAGAAAACGCCTGGAAGAGCTATTGGGCCTTAAAATATCTAATGAAGGGCGACGCACAAATATTCCTTAAACGCAAACTCATGGACATGTGCATTCTCCCCGTCTTGATATATGGTGGCCAAACCTGTTCTCTCACCAAACAGCAGAGGTCCGATCTCGGGGTGAGTCAGCGAGCAATGGAGCGCAGCATGCTAGGAGTCAGACTAACAGATCTCATCGGAAATACCACTCTGCGCTCCAGAACCCATATCACAGACGTCTCCCGTAAATCTGACAAGCTAAAATGGGACTGGGCTGGTCATGTCTGCCGTATGTTAGAAGAACTATGGGCCTAAATTACAACTTGGTGGACTCCTATAAATGGTAGACCCAGAAAATGATGGCAGGATGAACTCCAGTTACTCCAGGACTCCTTCATGGAAGAATAGTCCTCCATAGCACAGAAACGTGAATGGTGGAATAAGGTTGGGGAGGCCTTTGCCCAGCAGTGGGACGTTATGGGCTGATAAGACAGTCCTCAACCACATTTCTAGGCTCCTGGCATGCCTTCTAATTCGTAGTGGTCCTACATTGCGCTTACTTGTACGAGGTTGTTATACGAGAATTTTTCGAAATAAATTATGGCTCCAACTAGAATTCAAAAGAAGGGTTTGTGGTTTAAATGAAAAACCAAAAATTATGACGATAATAATAACTTCTACTTTTCTAACTATGACATGGAGTCGGATAAATAAAAAAAATATGAAGACATAACATTTTTTTTTTAGAGGATAAGGGTGACAAACGAGCGCACAGTCCACCTGATGGTAAGTGGTTGCTGCGGCCCATAGATATCTACATCTATCCTCTATAACAAATCAAAATGCAGATGCGTTGTCACCTGTGAGGAGTAAGATGGAATGCCTCATTTCCAGTAAAAAGGGCCTCCGGCCACCTGCACCCACCAAGCGAAACGCAGAGGTAAACCTCTACTTCACGCTGGTATTCTGTGAGGTCGTGGTACCACCCCGGTTCGAGCCAGCCCATCCGTGCGATAGCAAAAGCCGCCACGTGGCTCTACCACTGTTCAAAAGAGTGTGGTAGAGCTATGCGACAGGTATATTATAGTTGTAACACTAATGAGTCGGCGCGACCGGGAAAGGACCACGCCCTCCCAGAATACCAGCGTAAAATGGCAGCGTAGTGGTGCTGTGTTCGTATGGTGAGTGTAGAGAACCAGAGACCACTTTTAATGGAAATGATCTTAGTCCTCACGTGTGACAACGCATATGCATTTTGATTCTTTATTGACGGTAGATATAGATGTTTATGGGCCACAGCAACAGCATCCACTTACCATCAAGTGGACTGTGTGCTCGTTTGTCACCCTTATTCTATAAAAAAGATATGTGAAGTTCGCTAATTCGCATTACGCAGCGGCGTGGGCACTTCCATGCCCTAAAGGCGTTTCTGAAATGAGAGGAGGCTTGTACCCAGGAGTGGGTTGTAACCTATATTCGTTCTACCTTTCTACATTTGTTGAATTTATATAAAATATCCACTTCTGGCCTTGTGGCGTTCCTTGGAAGAGGCCTATGTTGGTAATAGTAACAGTGGACTTGTGTTATAATGATGATGATTGTTAGCACTCCTTCAAGCTTCCAGATAAGGTTGCAGGATGGTATAAAAAATCCAGGATAAGTGCCAAACTGTTTTTACTATTGTACATTAATTGTATGTATAGCAAGTAAAACCATTAGAAGCGGTGTACTGTCTCTTGGGCGATTTCTAGTTATCTGACGACGATCGTACGTCCGAGTGGCGGGGCACTTGACATCATGCATGGTTGCAGTACCTAACCGGTTGCATGCAAGTTGACAACAGATAGCAGGATATATACAGGGGTACGTAACGTATCGAACATTTGCTTTAAAGATCGCAAACCCGTCAGCCGTGCGCAACGATGACGATTACGGCAATGGGTACTCAAATCTTAAACAGTGGAGCTGTATACAAACTATGAGCGATAAAGAGAACGTTGGTAGGTATTTAAAGTAAATAGACAACCGTAAAAATGTTGATGATGATAAAATTATTATAAAAGATATATAATTATAGCTAAAACTTTTAAAAATAAGTAAAGGCCTGGTTATTTCTTAGGGGGCAAGCAAAAATCTGCCATACCCCAATGCGGGCTGGAATCCTTTTTATATACCTAATAGAAATATATTATTTTAATAACGTCGGAGCGTTTACTGTTAATATTATATATCCCGTAATTATAATTTTTTCTATTTTCGCCAACACGCTAAAACAAACTGAAAACAAATGACTTCTATTCTATTTTTTCTAAATATAACGTAATGAGTTTTTACTTTTTATGTGTCCTTAACCTTTTTATATTCGGAGTTTCCACCGCATTCTATTTTTTATAACGCGATGATATGAGACAAAATATTCATGATTTAAATTAAAAGACATGACATCATCCCTATCTGTAGGTCCCTCATAGTAAAACAGTCTATTATACACAATTAAAACATTATTGTATTATGTGTTATGTTTACAAACGCACTATGAACTACTAGGAACAGTTGTGGTTTCTGTAGTCACTTTTTATCCACCCATGAAAACAGTATAGATGTACACGTTTGTAGGAAGCCAGAAGGAAGGAAGAAACTCGAATTAATAGTTTCCTGTTATTCTAGTATATTAAACGTATGGAAAGTGGAAACACATTTCGTAAATTACGTTAAACTATATAAGGTTATATCAACGAAACAAATTTACAGACGTCAAAAACATACGCAGGTAAGTTGCTAAATATTTTTTATGATACTTATCCGTTTTAGTGATGAATGTATCATTATCGTCATACGAATATATTATGCATTAAAAATTTTACCTGGTGGTAAGTGATGATGAAAACATATACGGTAAATCGCAATGCCTTAGCGTAACAAATGCCTTTACAATCTTTTCTTGAAGACAACCACGGAATTGTTAGTATAGATTATGTTTTTTTTTGTTTTCTAAAATGGTTTTTTAGAGGTTTGAACATTTAAAAATGTCCAAAATGTATATTTTTATCAGATGTAGGTTGTAATATTTGCTTATTTTTTCTTTAGAACTGCAAAAATTCATGTGTCATTGAAACTAGTTTTAACTTTTTAGTGTTGTAAAGCATTCCTGATTTTTGTTTTTTTCTACTGTTATACATTTTTGGTAAATACGATATTATATTTTGATGATCCGGCATGAAGGGGTTTCTGTAAATACTGTTGTCCCAGTATTGGAACTTGCTTGCTTTTTAATGAATTGACTGAGATTTCTTTACATTGTCAAGACATAAATAAACTTTACATAACAATATCAATACACTTCAATATTTGCTTTACTATATAAGTACATATCAGATATATTACTGGTATAGTTGTAACACGAATGGGTCGGGTCGACCGGGGATGGACCACGCTCTCGCAGAGTACCAGCGCAAAATAGCAGCTTAATGCTACTGTGTTTCGTATGGTGAGTATAGAAAACCGGATACTTTCTTACTTAACTTAACTGACTTTTTACTGGAAACGAGGCATTCCATATTAGTCCTCACGGGTGACAACGCATCTGTATTTTGATTCGTATTCGAGGATAGATCTCGATCGCCTTAATTTAAAGAAAAAGATACACCACCAATGAGTTTTAAATAACAAAATAAAGATGCACTGGTCTAAATTTTAAGAACATTTTTTTTAAACCATTCAATTTACTAACTACAGAGCGCTAAGTACAAGGTTTCGACAGTGATAGAAATAACGATAGGACAAGTGTACAATATAGGTACGTCTAAGACATATTTTTATTTTATTTAAGGATATATATTATACCCGGCAAAGCGCAGCGCTCAGAGCGGCCTCTTTTATCTTTTTAAAACGAATAAGATAATAATAATTATATTTATTACTTTTTAAAAGTTCAGTTATTCTTTTTCTTGTGCTGCTTATAAATATTATATTATACTTATAATTTCATTTCCTTTTTCAGACATCATGAAAATCATTATTTGCTTAATTGTGGTGCAAGTATTTTTCACGCTTAACGCAGTTGAATTACCACCATACCGGCCAAAAATGTTGCAGTTTTGTGGGAAAAAATTAATGAAGGCACTGGAACTAGTCTGCGAGGGAACAGACATAAACCTTGAAAGAGAACTAGAAATGCTGAGAACATCAACAAAACGTATGTTAACTTATACATTAGAATATGCACACTTAAAAAAACACACTGTACCTTAGCGAAATAGTGCTCGTATGAAGTCGTTTGATCTGTAAGTGAAAGAAATTACTCACAACGTACCAAAATATAAATAAAAATGAAAAACTAATAATTTGCAAAATTTAAAAACATGTTATACAGATATAACATTCTTCCCTTTCTGTGATGAAAATCTACAACCCTCCATACACTGCTAAACATTAACCGTTAACTTATTTATATTGAACCTTTATTTACAGAATTACAGAACAAGAAAGGACCAAACAATTTTCTAAAGAAATCGCAACGCTTTAAGAGAGATTATGTCGACATCGGCATAGTGGACACCTGTTGTCAAAAATCATGCAATCTGGAACAATTACGGTCGTACTGTTGACAGACACGAAACGGTTTTTTAAATAATTTTATAGAAATTTTGATACTCAAGAAAATAGGTAGAGAGAAAATGAACGCTACAGCAAAACAAACATTTAGTCCAACAAATAAATTTTCAGAAGTAATTTAAATATATTTACGAACGTTGACTTAGAACATGTCATATTCCTATTTTGAAAGTAACAAATAACATGTACGTTACTTTTAATTATTAAATAAAAAATGTATTTGTTTGTAATAGAGCATTTTCTTTAAATTAAGACGAATACGACAGTGTAATATATACTCGTATATATATATATATATGAAGTTCCATCATTATTTTGCAATTTAAAGCGAACTGGTAGTGTAATAGGACATAGTGTAATGTCTTATATATATATATATATATATATATATATATATATATATATATATATATATATATATATATATATTATGTCTTAGACGTACACTGTACATTTTTCTATCACTATCAAACACCTTGTACTTTTAGCGCTTTGCAGTTAGTAAATTGAGTGGTATTTAAAAAAAGTCTTAAAATTTAGACCCATGAATATGAAGTTCCATCATTATTTTGCAATTTAAAACGAACTGGTAGTGTAATAGGACATAAGACATTACACTATGTACGATATATGTAGATTGTAGTACTTGCTTATTTTTTCTTTACAACTGCATTAATGCATCATTACAGTTCTGAAGAAACTAGTTTTAACACTTTAGTGTTGTAAAGCATACCTGATTTTTGTTTTTTTCTACTGTTATACATTTTTGGTAAATACGATATTATCTTTTGATGATCCGGCATGAAGGGGTTTCTGTAAATGCTGTTGTCCCAGTATTGGAACTTACTTGCTTTTTCATGAATTGACTGACATTTCTTTACTTTGTCAAAACGTAAATAAACTTTACATAACAATATCAATACACTTCAATATTTGCTTTACTTATATATATGTATAATAGGTCATAGTGTAATGTCATATATATATATATGACATAACACTATGACCTATTACACTTCCAGTTCGTTTTAAATTGCAAAATAATGATGGAACTTCATATTCATGGGTCTAAATTTTAAGATTTTTTTTTTAAAATACCGCTCAATTTACTAACTGCAAAGCGCTAAAAGTACAAGGTGTTTGATAGTGATAGAAAAATGTACAGTGTACGTCTAAGACATATTTTTGAAGTTATACTTCTTTTGGGGCATTTGGGAAACATTATGAGAGGGAATTTTTTACGACGCGCGCGCACACCGATAGCTAAAAACGACACCATGAACTTGTTACGATGCGCGCGCACACTGACACCTCAAAGCGACTACTTCATTGGGTAACTGTCTCTAGTTTTCGTGGGAACTGATAACTGCAGTTAAGGTAGTAATTTTTAGTTATTTTCGTTTTGTTACGATAAAGAAGTATAACTTCCTACGTGAGTTCATAAGTACACACACACACGTTTTTTTATTTAAGGATATATCACGCCCGACGAAGCGCATTATAACAGCCTAGAGCGGCCTCTTTTATCTCTTTAAAACGAAAAAAATAGTAATAATTATATTTATTACTTCTTTTAAACTTAAGTTATCCTTTGTCTTGTGCTGCTGATATAAGAGAAAATGGATATACCATTTTCTCTTATATCTACTTTTTGTAAATCGTCAGTCCAGCGATATTAGATACTGCGACTTGCTTTTTTATATTCATCTGTAAAACGATTAATGGCTGTTTTTATTTTCATTTCATTATGTTGAATTATCTGAAGTAATGGACGGAGCAGCAGCAACTTGAAATTCATATTTTAACAAAATTGTGGTATTTTATTAATTGCATGAATTGAATTTCATTAAAATATTTTAAATTTAAAAATTTTGTACAGCCGACTTCAATATAAGTTATTTAAGAATAACTCAAAAACTATTGGTCTGACCTTGATCAAATTCATATGGGACCACACGAAAATTATCAGCTTTCATATAAAAAAAGAATCATCGAAATCGGTTCACCCAGTACAAATTTATGAGGTAACACACATTAAAAAAAACATACAGTCGAATTGAGTACTGTCTCCTTTTTGGATGTCGGCAGATAATAAATAATTTAAAATTAAAAATTTTGTACAGCCGACTTCAATATAAGTTATTAAGAATAACTCAAAAACTATTGGTCTAACCTTGATCAAATTCATATGGGACCACACGAGAAGTACCAGCTTTCAAATAAAAAAAGAATCATCCAAATCGGTTCACCCAGTAAAATGTAATGAGGTAACACACATAAAAAAACATACAGTCGAATTGAGTACCGTCTCCTTTTTGGAAGTCGGCAGAAAATCAGTCAAATGCAAGGTGTTATAGTTAGTGTTACGTGTCACCAGCCCAATCAACCGTCTGAATCCAACTACCCATCCATCCGTCTGATTTTAATGTAATCGATTTATCTGACAGATTTAGAGAACATCTGGATACCAGATGATTAAAACTGTGAAATTCCAGATGTCTGTAAAACTCACTTTAAGAGAATATTACAGACAGAATTATTCAGTTATATCAGTAGCACGAATGGGTCGGCTCAACCGAGGAATGACCACGCCCTCACAGAATACCAGCGTAAAATAGCAGCGTAACACTGCTGTGTTTCGTATGGTGAGTGTAGAGAACCTGAGACCCCTTTTACTGGAAACGAGGCATTCCATCTTAGTCCTCACGGGTGATAACGCATCTGCATCTTGATTCGTAGTTGAAGATGGATGTAGTAGTCTATGGGACACAGAAACTACTTACCATCAAATGGCCTATGTGCTCGTTTGTTACCTTTATCTTATAAAAATAAAATACACTAAATATTATCTTCCCTCTACCGAAACGGCAATATTACGCCTTGGACTACTTGGTTGAAAACACGACGTGATTAAATAGCTTCATAAGTAGTTCTAGGCGCTAGTTGAATCATCAATTATTGTACGATATAACGGTAACTTTTAATAGAATGTACTTTATTTCATTGTTATATATATCTAAAACAAACTTTATTTAGATACATGTCAAATAATAGCAAAATTGCTAATACTCACAAACAGTAATTAAAATAAAAAATTTGGTACAACCGACTTCAATATAAATTATTAATAATAAATCAAAAACTATTGGTCAAACCTTGATCAAATTTATATGGGACCACACGAGAAGTACCAGTTTTCAAAATAAAAAAAGAATCATTCAAATCGGTTTACCCAGTAAAAAGTTATGAGGTAACACACATATAAAAAAATATACAGTCGAATTGAGTACCGTCTCCTTTTTGGAAGTCGGCAGAAAAATTTAACCCTTTTGTTTATATTTTATTTATTTATTTATATTCTAGAAGTGTACCATTTTTATGTTGATGTCTCTTAAGACAATTAATAATTATAAATCAATTAATTTAATCCGTAATACATAGCCCAACGGATTAGTAAGCTGAAGTGGCAATGGGCCGGCGATATAGCTCGAGGAACCGACAACCGATGGGGAAAAATGGTTCTCGAGTCAACCTCGTACCGGTAGGCGAAGTGTAGGGCGACCCCCCACTATTTGGAATCGATGGATGCAGGTGGTTCGGGAACGTGCTTTGTGAGAGGCCTATGTTCAGCAGTGGACTTGTGAAATGCTGTAATGATGATGATGATGAATTAATATAATATTTCAAAGGGAAAGCAAATAAAAGATAAATAAACATTCTTGGGACAATGTATACGCCATTAGAACAAGGTCCCGGAAAGAGTACAGGCTCTCTCTATTACCAAGTTTAATATTTTGTAGTTGTTAAACTGTACAAAAAGGGTTATTATAATATAAATGAATACATGGTTGATAATAACTCCTGGGAATGAGGTGGTCGCTTCCAAGCTGTTTCTAAAATGATTTTTGTAAATAGTTTGTACAACCATTAATGTAAAATTTACTTTAAAAAAAATTACACATGTGATCTATATTGAATAAAAAATATTCTATTCTATTCTATACTCTAATCTCTTCACCTAAGACGCTGTCTCTAATTTTATCTCTGTCTTCTTTATCATATCTGCTTTTTTAATTATTCTAAGTGTTGGTAGAGTTTGCCTTATCAGCACGGATTGGCGATCACAGTTTCAGATATGCTCCCCGTCACCGGTACGGGTGTTTTATATATGATATATACGAGATGGTATATCATTAAAATGAGGAACTAATCTTTAATATAAAATCTAATTTTAATTATAATCTATATTTAGGCGTAACGGCGTAAAATAATTTGAGAGCTATTGTGTGCGCCCGCGTGTGTATGTATGTATGTATGTATGTATGTATGTGTATTTACCTGAAGTATTATAAATCAGTGTATTCGCCTAATAAATACTCCACAGACACAGACATTTAAGTGTATTTTTAACAATTACAAAATGTAATTATTTCTTAATAAATTCACTTGAGGTCATTCATTTAAAAGTTTAATCCGTGATCGACATCAGATCCACGAAGTCGGTGTTACGGTTTGTTTAATGCTGTTGTGTTTTTTGTACCATACTTCTGAGAACATAAACCGCAACGCACAGCCATTGCTAAGTAGTTTTTTAGAACATCAGCCGAGGCTTGGTTGGTTTTGTACCATTATGTCATCACAGTTTGATCACATCAGCGTCGTTAATGAAGAAATAAATCCGATAAAGAGGACACTACGAAAATAGTTGAGTTTTGTTAATTTTGTAAAAATAGTGGTTAATGATAATGGGGAATATGCGGCTGGTTTATGTAATTGTGTTTTATTATTTTGGTTTAGTAACAGGTATGTAAATTATCAAATAATCTTCTTTTGTATATTTAAGAACGATAGTGACCTTGGATTATGAATAAGTGTTAAAATTTTATTCCAAGGAGAATATGTAAAACAATGTTTCACATTGGAAGAAACGGAGTTTTTTTTAAAAGTTAATCAATGATATTTTGCTCAGCATTACAAACAGTATTTTTATAACTTTTAAATTTAAATTACTTTAAATCACTCAACTTAATGTTAGTGTACTTACCTATTGTACGATACGTGTATATATTGTAAAGTAAAGTAAAGTAAAGTAAAGTTGCAGCCTATTTACGTCCCACTGCTGGGCACAGGCCTCCTGTCATTTCTGAGAGGGTTTTAGGGCAAGGAAATGTCCGCCGCGCTACCCCAGTGCGTGTTGGCGAACTTCACATGTCTTCGAAATATTTTTTTCTTATTTCTCAGACATGCAGGTTTCCTCACGATGTTTTCCTTCACCGCCGTGCACGTGGTAAATCAGCACTTAAAATTGCAATTAACAATTTCATTGGTGCCGGCGGGGATCGAACCCGGGTTGCTCGAGTACTGTGAAGCTTACAGTGAGCGCTAACCATCTGAGCTACCACGGCTCCGGCACGGTATATATTGTACGAGACAAGAAATCTTTCTGACATTTTAATAAATGTCAGAAAGATTTTTAAACACAGTTAAATGAGCTCTTCTGCAAGGTGGAGCTCATTTTTAAACCTTTAAACCTTTTTCTTTGTCATTACCTATGAAATTGTAGTTTTCTTAGTATTCTGGCCAGTTAGAAAATAAATTTAAATATAAACTTTGATAATTTACGTTCCCGCCTAAGGGTATTAGTGTTCTGTGATTTACGTGGTAGAACCACGCTGCAGCTATGTTGTGGATGTAGCACGAAGAACAGAGCTTAAAATAGCAGAGTAAAATAGCAGCTTAATGCTGCTGTGTTTCGTATGGTGAATCTAAAGAACTGGAGACTCTTTCAAGTGAAAACGAGTTATTCCATCGTAGTCCTCAAGGGTGACGACGCATCTTCATTTTGATTCGTAATCGAAGATAAATGTACACATCTGTGGGCCACACCATCCACTTACCATCAGGTGGACTGTGTGCTCGTTTGTCACACATTTTCTATAAAAAAAAAACTTAAAATAGTATTAAAATTTAAGAAAACTTCAAAAAACGCACATTGATTATGAGCTCTCATGATTCAAAGAAGAATTATTCTGGTGATCCTGATCGGTATAGTGGAATAAAGTTATTAAATTATTGTATTGTCATCGGTTGATAGGATGAAGTTATTGAATTATGGTATTGTCACCTTGATATGAGTGCATCAGGTCAATCTACCGTCTACAATTTGGTGGAAATTACATTAAAAGATCCCGTTACATAGATAGATAGATAATAGAGAACTTACTTAAAGTTGTGTTGCATCAGGCAAGAAATCTTTCTTATAAAAATACTACCTAATGCGACACAGTGCTCATTTTCTGCCTTGGACTCTGTGTTTCACCGGTTTGAACGGTACAAGGACTATAAAATTTACAGGCTGTGATGCATTTGATTTTCGATATCAACAAATGTGTCCTATGATATTTAGTGATACCTATAAACCTGTAGTGTCTTTTTAAAAGAAAAATAAAAAAGAATGTAAAGTTACCCTTATCCGTATCGCTGTTATTTACGTATACCTAAGATCATTAAGGATGTAGTTCTAGTGCATAATAGATTTTACATTACAACCTACACGTTTGCATTAAGGTCACTTATCAAAGTCTTAAATATTATATGCAAATTTATACAACATTGCTACAGCTTTAAGAACGATGGAAATGATTATAAGACTATAAAGACTAAGGTTTATTTCACATTTACACTGTTATTTTTTATATGGAGAAGCCGTTTGATTTTTAATTTTAATGAACAAGCCCGTGATCCGGAAATCTTACTATATTTGAAGTAATTAAATTTTGCTATTAAAGACGTTTAAAAAATAGTAATGATATCACACAGTCATGTCAGTTTTCCAATTCGTGATGAATTACAAAACCTACCAATTTATTAGAAAATTTTAACAGTTCTTTGAACGATGTCATCCGAAGGGCTCTTGCCTCTATAAATGTTCCCTCGGTTTTAGAGCCTTGTGGAATATTTAGAGACGTCCCTTGGGAGAGAGGTAAAGCCCTAGTGTAGGATGCTACTTGCGTAGACACTCTGGCGGCCTCTCATCTCAGGGGTACCTCGTTTAAGGCCGGGGCGGCATCAGAGGCAGCTGAACTGAGTATATGGCGCAAATATGAGTCTCTGAGAGATGACTACATATTTGTCCCATTTGCTGTAGAGACTATTAGTCCGTGGGGTCCACGTGCGGTGAAGTTCCTAAAGGAACTCCATCCGCGGCTGGTCGTTGCTGCTGGTGATAAGAGGACTGGTTCTTTCCTCGCTCAAAGGCTAAGTATAGCCATTCAGCGGGGAAACGCAGCCAGCGTTCTTGGCACGATACCGCGGGGAGTAGGACTATATGATAATTAAGTTCCTAGTTTTAGTTTTTTTTTATTATCATAGTTTTTAGAAAATGTAAAAACAAATTAATAAATTCGCACAAAATATAGGTTGAAAATATAGGTTTATAGATAGATATGGTATAGATAGATATAAGCAAAGAAGGGTCCGAACCACATCTTGAGGAAAATGAGGAAATTTTCCTGTAACGCAAAAAAAGTGAGACGAAACACCATAATATTTAACGAGTTAATTTTACGATAAAACTTCGTGAAAACGTTTTTTTTTTGATCGTTTAACCAAAACTGTTTTTTCGTCAAAAGGAGTACATATTTCCAACCTCAACGACTCCTGCATCAGGTGCCTCTGTTATGTGACTGGCTGCGATTTGTCACACGGATGCTCCCAGGGCTACTGCGGGCCTTTCTACATATCCAGGGTGTACTGGGTTGACGCTGGAAAGCCGACGTTACCTGATGATAACCCTGAAAGAAAAGAAGGTAAGATATTCCCGAACATTTTTAAATATATTTGTTTAATCTAAAATTAAAGTGACAAACGATCTTACATTCCCAACCTTACAGCCCAAGGACACCTGCAACAAACTTTGAATAAATAAGGCTACAGATGGAATGTCTCAAAGCCTGGATGTATACTGCCTCTCTATACGCTTCAGACCGGAACATAGCAGTGTACACACTGCTATTTAGCGGCATGCTTGCTTTTGTGCAGCGCGGTGGATACTCGTTTTTATAGAATAGAGTCACAAACGAGCACACATTCCACCTGATGGTAAGTGGATGCTGTGGCCCATAGAGATCTACATTTATCCTCGATTAAGAATCAAAATGCAGATGCGTTGTCATCACTGAGGACTAAGATGGAATGTCTCGTTTCCAGTAAGAAGGGTCTCCGATTCTCTACACTCACCATACGAAACACAGCAGTGTTAAGTTACTATTTTACGATCGTATTCTGTGAGAGAAAATGTAAGTAGAGTAAAACTGGAAAGACAAGGGGAAGAGTTCACAATTGGTAGAGGGGTGCAGCAGGGCGACCCGTTGTCTCCAAAGCTATTCATAGCTGTACTTGAAGACATTTTCAAAAACATTAATTGGGAAAATAAAGGCATATGGATACTCAATAATAAATTAACACACCTAAGGTTTGCAGATGACATTGTTCTTTTTAGTGAATCAGCGACAGATTTAGAAGCAATGTTACAAAGATTAAACTTTGAAAGCAAAAAATTCGGTCTACACATGAACGCATCCAAAACTAAAATAATGTCAAACAGTCAAAAGAATACAATCAAAGTAGAGCAAAAACCGATAGAATATACAAATGAATATGTGTACCTAGGTAAATTAGTGTCCTTTGATGCAAACAGTAACGAAAACGAAATAGACAGACGAATAAGTACAGCATGGAATTTCTTCCATGCTGTACTTACTACCCAGTATTTCTACTGGGCCCAAAAAGAAATTCTAAAAGGGAACTATAGTCTTAATATAAAAAAGACTATAATGGATTCTTGCATTCTCCCAAGCTTAACTTACGCTAGCCAGACCTGGGTCTTCACAAAAAAAGTAAAAAACAAAATTTCATCTTGTCAACATGCAATGGAACGTAGTATACTGAAACTGAGAAAAATACAAAAAACGAGAAATGCAGACATCCGCATGAAAACAAAATTAACTGACGCTCTTAATTTTAGTTTGAAACAGAAATGGAACTGGGCAGGGCACTTGTCAAGATACAAAGATAAGAGATGGACTTACCAAACAACTAAATGATAGGGCCCAAAAGGCAAAAGAAACGTGGGAAGACAGAAGAAAAGATGGTCCGATGACATAATAAACACAGCAGGAAAAAGTTGGATGCATGCGGCCAAAGACAGTGAAAGATGGAAAAGCATGCTTTTACCCACAGGGGGGCCACATAACAAAAAAATAGGAAGGAAATTATTATAATTAGATATAATATATTTCTAAGAATTGTTAAGTGAATAATAAAGCTGTAATAATAATAATAATTCTGTGAGAGCGTTGTCCTTCCGCGCTCGAGCCGACCCATTCGTGCTTAACCATAATATAGTTGCAACGTGGCTCTACCACTTTCTTCCCCTAAAACCATCTGAGAGATAATAAGAGGCCTGTGCCGAGGTGTAGGATGTATATAGGCTGTAACTTTTCCAATTACTTTAGTTTTAGAATTACTTTACTTTTACAATTTAAGAGATTCATAGGCTTCTTTTCGAAAGGGGCAAAATCGATTGGAAGGATACCTTTATAAAGGAGAACATTAAAGGAAATAGACCGGTTGGCTGATGGAATATACGTCAGCATATATTATTACAACATCTTTTTACTAATGTTTGTTAGCTTTGTGGCCTTTGCAGGTTCATCTACCTCAGAACTTTGTGCCCATGTTTGACCAGCCTATCAGGTCTGAAATTTGATGATTTTACACTACGGTATTACCGTAGTGTAAAATCATCAAATTTCAGACCTGATGTCTACATAATCTGTATTTACAGACCTCCTCGGTCAAAATTAGAACTAGTGGCTCTATTTTTTAGTAAACTGGATAATATATTAAGCTCCGTTACTAATAACAGCAACTATAAATTAATTATATGCGGTGACTTCAATATTGACGTGCTCAAATATGATAAAATATCCAGAGATTTTAAACAGATGTTATCTAAATACAATACAAAATTGCCAATTTCATGAACCCACTAAACCTCGCAGTAAAAATGTTTAGATAATATGTTAAATAATATTAGTGGTGCAAAAGGAAAAGTCATAGAATTGACAATTTCCGATCACTGTGCCCAAATTCTTTACGAATATAATATATACTTACCATCGAGATTTTTCTCTTGATAATATAAAGAAATTTATGGACTGCATCAAAAGTCTAAGTTTCAGTGAATCATATAAGACAAGCTGTTCAAATAAAGCTTTCAACTCATTTCACGACCTTTTTACACTTTTTTACAACTTATGTTTTACAGAAATCAAAGTAAAAATTGCTACTTTGAACAAACCGAAATGGATTTCAAAGGGCATTAAATTATGTAGTAAAAATCGTTGTAAACTTCTATGGAAATATCGACTATCTCCGTCACTAAGAAATAAAATAATTTTTACTAACTATAGTAGACGGTACAAGAGAATAATTAATCTTATTCAAAAGGCACAGAATGACTACGAGTATTATATAGCTCAGTCAAAAAATAAGACCCAAGCAACGTGGAAGACAATTAATAAGTATAATAGCAGCTTTCCTTAGAAACAGATTAATAGTGTATTAAGTTACGTTAAAGAGGTAACTGAAGCGACAGAAATTGAGAACGCGTTAAACGACTTTTTTACAAACTCATCGGAAACAGTCGACAAGGACAAGCCCGAACCTACTTCTGTTCCACGTAGTCCACGAAACTCAATTTTTTTGACCTCAATCATTTTCTTAGATATTGTTAAAAAAAATTATAGGATAAGGGTGACAAACGAGCACACAGTCCACCTGATGGTAAGTGGTTGCTGTGGCCTATAGATATCTACATTTATCCTCGATTACGAATCAAAATGTAGATGCGTTGTCACCCGTGAGGACTAAGATGGAATGCCCCGTTTCCAGTAAAAAGGTTCTCCGGTTCTCTACACTCACCATACAAAACGCAGTAGCATTAAGCTGCTATTTTACGCTGGTATTCTGTGAGAGCGTGGTCCTTCCCCGGTCGAGCCGACCCATTCGTAATACAACCAAACCAGAAATATAGCTGCAGCATGGCTCTACCACGTAAAAAATTATTATTTTATTAAAAAATACTAATAGTGTAGGTTTTGATAATGTTTCCACTAAGATTATTAAGACAGTAGGGAATATAATAGCTCACATCTTCAGCTACATTATATATTTATGTTTAGAACATTTCCAGATATATTGAAATTGGCAATTACTATTCCAATATTCAAAAAGGATACAAGAAGCTGTTAAAAAACTATTGTCCTATTTCACTTATTTCAATATTTTCAAAGTTAATAGAATAAATTATATATATAAAAAAAAAAAAACTATTACTTTGAAACCAATAATCTATTTTCGAAGCATCAATACGGCTTTCGAATAGATAAATCCATTACTATGGCTATATACCAGTTTTTGTAAAGGGTCGTAAAAAAACGTTAACAACCGAAAGCCTACACTAGCACTATTTATGCATATGACCAAAGCATTTGACAATATTAAACATAAAATATTACTTAATAAACTAGAAAGATATGGTATAAGAGGCAACGCCCTAAAGCTAATCGAATGCTACTTAAGTAATAGAAGACTAATTACACATATAGCCAAAATTGACTCTAAGACCGGTGGAAATAAAATATACAGATCGAAAGAGAGTCAAGTCAACTATGGAGTACCACAGGGAAGTGTATTGGGCCCTCTCCTTTTTATTATCTATATAAATGACTTTCCTAATGTAATCAACCATCATATGACTATTTTTGCTGACGATAGTACTGTTTTATTTATTTATGATAATGAGAATAATATAAATATTGATATTAATAATACATTGACATCTTTATTCAAATTGTTGACATTAAATATGACAAAATACATATAATAAACTTTAAATAAAGAAATAATTATCCTTTAAATTTTGACATAAACTACTCTGGGAATTCAATTAAAGAGCTACCTCTGGGAATTCAATTAAAAAGTTTGTAGTGTCTACACACTACAAAATTTTTGGGTTTGACTATAACTAATAAGCTGACATGGAAACCTCAAATTGATAATCTAATTAAAAAAAACTAAACCAATTATCTTATGCCCTTTATAAACTAAGGAAGGTTGCCAATGTTAAAACTCTTCTAACAGCCTATCACGGATATGTTGCATCAAACTTATGGTATGAAATAATGTTTTGGACCAACACTACTAAAAACAAAGTGTCCTCAAAGCGCAAAATAGTGCGTTAGGTCAAAGTTTGGTCTAAATCAGGATGATTCATATGAACCGTACTTTCGCAAATATAAAATTCTGACTCTGCCATGTATGTATATATATGAGGCTGCAATCTTTGTTCGATATAACCCAATTTATTTTTAAATGAATACTGCCGGAAGTCTTCGTGAAGGCACATTGAACGTTAACCACAAATTCAAAACCCTTCTTCGAAGAATGTGTGTAAATTTCATAGCACCAAAAATCTATTATAAAATATCATTAAATATCCGATTTATTAATGATATCAAAAGATATAAATAAATAAATGATTGATTGATTGATTGCATTTGACTGCAGGTGTATGGACTACAGTGGCCACTTACCCTTTGGTTTTTCACTTTACTTTTGTTAAAAAATGCTATTTCACGCTAGTGTTTTGTGCAAGTGTGGTTCTTTCCTACTATAGTCATACTAAGTTTCATCTATTCGTACTTCTTACGTTTACTTGAATTGAGACAGTGGTTTTCCTTAGTGTTAACGTTACAGACTATCAAAAGTCCACTGCTGAAGTTAGCCCTCCTCAATAGATCTTTGCAATTGTTCCTGACGTCACAGCCCACTATTCTCCCCGGATCTTATCATCGGGCAGCAAACCTCTAACCATTTCTGCGAGTGCTTCGCGGCCTCACCACCATCATGGACATAACACAACACTACAACGCACGCCTTACTCGGAACCACCCGGTCGTGAACGCACGCATTACGGCTGCCCCTTAAAGAATTCTACCAGCACAAGTGTAGCTTGATACTCAACACATATATTGTGTCATATTCTGGTACAAAAGTAATCCCGTAAAATATTGAGGACTAGCTCAGATTAATTATACAGTTCATTGCATGTTTCAGCTTTCGAAGACTGCGCGAGAGACTATCACTGTTCAGTGAAAATCGTAGAAAATTATATGGCGCGATTTGGAAAGGTAATGTTTATTTATTAAGCACAAAATCTTTTTTACCTTACTTATTACCTTATTACCTTATTTTTCTTAGGGAGATTTAGGGACATGTAGAATGAACATTACGACGGTGCGTACACATCATATAACATAACATGATATAAAACATGTTTCAGTAATGTGGAGGCAGAATGTTATAAAACGTGTATATAACGTGACACGAATGTTATATAACTCGAATGGCAGAACGACAAACGACAATGTCATACGACAATGTCATACGACAATGTCATACGACAATGTCATATAACATAGTTATATTGCATTGTTATTCTAATGTGTACAGTATTGTTATATGTTGTAATGTTGAAAAACAATGTTACATAATGTTACTTGATCTGTACGGACCCTTAGGTATGCCATTTATGAGTGATTTTTAAAAGGGTTATAGTGTTTACAATAGGTAACTTACTAAAATCAACCTTATCTTATAAAATCCTAATCTATCTTATGAAGTATATATATCTTATAAAATCTTTTCTAAAAAATTAAACTTTTTAAAAAATTGACCTATATCCACATGAAAATATAAATAATTATTTAATTTTAATTTTTATGGTCAATTTTTCTTATCTAAAGTTATTTCTATGATTGAATACTGATTCTGATTTCGCACTTAACGAGAACCATAGGGTTTTTGTTACATGTTGTATAATAAGTGTGGCAAACAAGCACATATTCCACGTGATAGTAAGTGGATGCTATGGCCCATAGGTATATACATCTATAATTGATCAAGAAGCAAAATGCAGTTGCGTTCTCACCCCTGAGGACCAAGATGGAAAGGTTTCAATAAAAATGGTTTCTGGCTCTACGCATTCACTATAAGAAATACCGCATCATCACCATAGATCTCTTTACAGAACACCAGCGTGAAACACACTGATACTCTGTCGAGCCACAGTCGGTTTTTTTACTCATGTGGTCGAGCCTCGAGCCGACCCATTCGTGCCTCAGCTATATAAATCTAGTATAGCCACATCATGGTTATACCACGTGAAAACTACTGTACTATAATGTGGACTATACCTAAATTACAAATGATAACTCTGTGTTATCCAACCGTGCTTGTGGCTTAAACGATATTTGTATTATTAAGCTTTTAGTACAAGCCACACGTTCACTACTTATTTAGTTGACATCTCAGTTTACAAACTTTTTTTATAGGATAAGGGTGACAAGCGAGCACCCAGTCCACCTGATGGTAAGTAGTTGCTTTGGCCCGTAGACACCTACATATATCCTTGTATGTGAATCAAAATGCAGATGCGTTGTCAGCCGTGAGGACTAAGTTGGAATGTCCTTTTCCAGTAAAACCATACGAAACGCAGCAGCATTAAGCTTCTTTTTTACGCTGGTATTCTGTGAGAGCGTGGTCTTTCGCCAATCAAGCCGACCCATTCGTGCTTCAACTATACTATTCGTATAGCTGCAGCATGGCTCTACCACGTAAAACTTGCCAGACCGTACTCTTACTGATTGCCATTGTTTTCCGGAATTCGGATTAACTTTTTACATCAAATAATGACTCACTTGCCACTGAATACTACTTTTGATTAAATAGAAAGAAAGGAAGAAGGAATAAGTTTATTTGTTTCTACAAAAAACACTTAAAAATAGTAAGTAGCCTAATTAAATAATTTAAAATGAAAATTTTTGTACAACCGACTTCAATATAAATTATTAAGAATAACTCAAAAACTATTGGGCAGATCTTGACAAAAAATTATACGCGAGCACATAGTCTCCGTCTGACGTACGTCATGTCTAACGAATCATTGTTATCTACACAGTAAAAGTAAAAACTATTGAAATGACGTCGAAATATATTTCTAAACGTGTTAGTGGCTTAATGGTTGAGTGATCATCTTTCCACTAATTGAAACTTAATTCTACTTAACCACTAGAAAAAACACTAGTATACTCCACGCCACGGTTCGGTCGAAACCACCAGTTTTGGTGGAAAATCCACTGAGTTGGCAATAATATTGTGCTATATAAAGTTAAAGGGATTTTCTGAGTCAGCGACAAAGCAACCAGAGTCTCAGAGACAAAATTGTAACCATAGACAAAACAAAATTTATTTAAGATGTTAAATAGGCCAATTTATAAAAAAAATTATATATGTAGCACCAGCTTTTAAATAAAAAAAGAATATTTTTAAAAGCTTTTATATAATGGATTTCCGCAAAGTAACGCCTGATTCTATTAATTATATTAATTATAAAAAAAGAATCACTGAAATCGGTTCACACAGAAAAATTTTATGAGGTAACACATAAAAAAACATACAATCGAATTGAGATTTTATTATAAACTTCAATTTTATTCATAAGGACTGCTTTAGTTATTGCTCTGAGATAAGGACGAAATTTGTGGTTCTCGTATGCACTCTTTTACTTTTTAAATTCTACAAGTATATCCTTACGTATTTCATTCAAATCTATATATATATGCGAAATACCACTGACTGACCATCCCATCACGCGATCTCCAAAACTATACACCCTATTGACATGAAATTTAGAATAGTTACTCAATTCACAATGTAGACGCTCACTAAGAACGGATTTTAGGATATTCCCATAAAAAAAAAATAGATTACGCAATAAAATATTATCGAGCGGATATCTGCTAGTGATAAATAAACGGGTAGGGGTAGCCCTACACTGCCTGCCGGTACAAAGCTGATGTTTGCACCTTCCTTTCCAAGTTCTTTTCTTTTGTTATATGGACATCCCATTGCCACTTTAGCTTACTAAGCCGTTGGGCTATGTCGGTTCTACTGCGGACACCATTGTTACGGATTCCATCATGTAGACAAACTCCGAGAATACATGAAAGAGCCATGCTGTAGCTATATTATGGTTGTAGTACGAATGAGTCGGCTCGACCAGGGAAGGACCACGCTCTCACAGGATACTAGCATAATATAGCAGCTCACTACTGCTGTATTTCGTATGGTGAGTGTAGAGAACCGGAGACCCTTTTTATTGGAAACGAGTCATTCCATTTTAGTCCTCAGGGGTCGCAACGCATCCGCATTTTGATTCTTAATCGAGAATAGATGTAGATGATGTCTATGGGCCACAACATTTACTTACCAACAGGTGGACTGGGTGCTCGTTTGTAACCCATATTCTATTTTAAAAAAACTATCCATAACTCGTTTGGCAACTTTTGGCATCTTCATACAGCCAGGAGTGAAGTACGTTTCAATACCATATGCTTATAGTTAGTATAATTAGACATTAAATTTGTAGTAACTTATGATATTTATACAAATTATGTAGTGTTTAAAAAAGACTGACAAATATCAAAATATATTTCAGGATTGCAACAAAGATGGCATAACAAATTGTTTCGACTATATGATGATCAATCACCACGGAGACGGCGCATGCACTGAACCCCTGTACCTCACGAACCTTGGACGTAGGCGTTTGCAACTATATCAGCAATGTCGTCTGTAGCGCAAGGAGCAGTTTTTGTTGAACATTTTGGACTTCTAACGTATTGGCGGATATATCATATCATTCATATAAAAGACTGTATTAAAATTATGAAAGTTATCTTCCTTTTGTTACATTTACATGTATGACAATTTATCCGATTTACTTTCAAAATTGGTAATTGGTAAATCCAATTGTGCCTGCCTTAACTGCATTAAAAAAATTATGTATAACATTATTATACTCAATTTTTTAAGTAGCTTAAATACACACAAGTTTTCACTAATAACCTTATAACTACACTTCCAATTTTCTGATATCTTTATGTCAAACTTTAAGTTAAAAAAAGTTTGGAAAATCCAAAAGTGCACGACTGTGAGTCGTTTACTTTACTCTACTCTCGTGCTTCTTCTGCCACAACCAACTTTCACTACCATACATTAAAGTAGGGATGGTGCATATTTAAAACGGCATATAATACGTTCATACAATTACTTGGCATCATCATCATCATCATCGTCATCACAGCCCTTCACGAGTCCACTGCTGAACTTAGGCCTCTCCCTTCTTCTTCTTAATTTCTTAATTTCTATGAAAATATCTTAATTATAATGTACATTGTACATACATCTATGAATCAACTAAATAAAATTATAGTAATAAGGAAATCAAATCATATTTTTCAGTTTTTTATTACATTACAAAAATTATCTTACGACTTATAAATACAATCTTCCATTATTTTAATGCTAACATACAAAATAATTAATTTTATTTTCTACTCAGTTTCAGTGGAGTTGCTCCAACATAAATATATAGATTTAGCCTTATTAATTAAAACTATAGGGATGAAAAGTTACATAATATCAAGTATTTTTCGAATATCGAACAAAATACAATGTATAATTAAACCTAGAGGATTAAAGATTTATATATTATGTATACTTATATGTATTTCAAATATTTTCAACGAAATAAGCAAGCATTTTTTCTAAATATCTTTTTTGACTTACTTTACATAACTTTAAAGCATAGAATTTAACCTAGTTATTCCGAAAAGTTCTAAAAGTAATACACTAAAAAGCTCTGGAATAAGGCTTGTCCAATTAAAGAATTGGTCCAGGAAATTAAATCATATTTACATGTTTAACCACAGCTATAAGCTAATTTATAAAATCCAAATTTTCTTAAAAGTATGCTTAAATTCGATAAATACAGCTTACGTGTGTATCTTACTATTACTACTCAAAAATATTTAACATAGAAGAGTTATTTTAACAACATTTTCCAAAACAAATTAAACGAAATTGAATTTATTATTGTAATATTTTGTAAGCTTTTTTTTTTCAACGTTTTAAGGTTTACGTTAACGTGTAAAGGCTTTAGTTTTAAGTTCAGGCAAATGTGACAAGCGGAGCAGGTGACTTCCAATGTTCACTGTCTGCCTCTTCGTCAGACTCATCGGGGAATCTAACCTGGAAAATAATTTGTGTTGTTATGTGATAGGTACGTAAAAAAATATCAACAAAGAATTAAAAATCAAATGTACAAGTACAGTTGTTATAACGCTTTATGTGTCACTTTAAGTAAACATAATAAAAATAATTATGAGTAAAATTTAAAAAAAATGTGTGAGTCATACCCAGGGTGATAATCGTCTTCCATTAGATTGGAGAGAAGTACCCTGGTTTGCTTGCCATGCCTGAAAATCAAACGTGATATAAAATAAGAAAAAAGCTCTGATGGTCTATCGTTTTTTTTTCCAACTGTTTTTAGTGTATAATAAAATTAAAATTCGGTCCAGAAGTGGGCACAGGCGTCCCCTCATTTTTGAGACGGTTATTTTTTATAGAATAAGGATGACAAACGAAAGCATAATCCAACATATGGTAAGTGGATGCTATGGCTCATTGACATCTACATCTATTATCGATTTAGAATCAAAATGCAGATTCGTTGACACCCCTGAGGACTAAAGGTGCGTACATATTGTATTACATAACATGTTATAAAACATGTTTCAGTAATGTAGAGACTCAATATTATAAAACGTGTTATTTAACGTGATACAAATGTTATATAACTTATGCATACACGTGTACTTTGTAAAGGATAAAAATAACGTTCGCTCTACAAAAGAGGCGGGTATTCCAGAGGTAAAAGAATTTGTTTTTATGATATTTTTATTATTACAAGCTTTTACATTGTTAATAACACTGCATAACGACATACGACAATGTCATATAACATTGTTATATTGTATTGTTATTCTAATGTGTACAGTATTGTTGTAAGTTACAATGTTGAAAAAAATGTAACAATGTGGACGTGTTATAAAACACAAGGTATACTTAGTACCTAACATGTTGTACTTAATCTGTACACACCCTAAGATGGAATGCCTTGTTACCAGTAAAAAGGGTCTCCAGTTCACTCACCATAAAAAACAGAAGTATTATTCTACTGTTTTACGCTGGTATGCTGTAAGAGCGTGACCCTACCCCGGCTGAGCTGACGCATTCGCACTGCTACTATGAATAGCAAGCATAACTGCAGCGTGGCTCTACCGCGTAAAAACTATCAAGTTACGAAGTAATTAACCAGCTGAGCTATCATGTTTTCGGAATTAAAAAATAAATATTTGATTCCTCAGACATGCTGGTTACCTCAAGATGGTTTCCTTTAACACCGAGAGGTTAATCAGAACTTCGGCAGCTTCAAGCTGCAACGAAATCTTCTTCAATAATACCAATGCGGTGAAATAAAAACACCACAGTAATTTTTTACACATTATGGCAAATTTAAATACTGTTCAACCAGTGCATGTTGCCAGTGATGACATATGGAACTGAGACGCGGTCCTTTACTGCTGGTCGGATGAGGAAGCTTAAGGTCGCTCAGCGAGCTATGGAGAGGGCTATGCTCGGAGTTTCTCTGCGTGATAAACTTAGAAATGAGGATATCCGCAGTAGAACCAGAGTGACCGACATAGCCCAACGGATTAGTAAGCTGAAGTGGCAATGGGCCGGCCATATAGCTCGAAGAACCGACAACCGATGGGGAAAAAGGTTCTCAAGTGGCAGCCTCGTACCGGCAGGCGAAGTGTAGGGCGTCCCCCCACTAGATGGAGTGACGACCTGGTAAGATATGCAGGAAGTCGATGGATGCAGGTGGCTCAGGACCGTGCTTTGTGCCATTCCTTGGGGGAGGCTTATGTTCAGCAGTGGACTTGTGAAGGGCTGTAATGATGATGATGACGATGATGGCAAAATAGTTACAGTACATGAAAAATTTATGGGTGGCAGTACTCCAATTCTGCCTAGCTGTTCGTCTGGCTTGGGGCCATCCACTTACCTATTTCTGCTGTCAAACAGCAATGCTTGCACTGCTGTTTTCTGGTCTAAGGGGTATTGAGAACCAGCATAATTACAGGCTGTGAGGTATTCCATCTTATTCCTTAGAGGTAGAAGGTAGAGATCTGTAGGTTATTTGTTTGATGTCGGTTGTCCGTCCACTGTAGTAGCCACTTACGATCAGGTGGACTATATATACTAGGTGGCCAGCCAGACGTTGTTCTGCCCTTTTCGACGACCCTTCATATAAAAAATGCGTAATAAAAAAATATTGAGTGTCACTTATCAAGATAAAAACTATTATTTCTCTCAAGTTTGAACGAACTGCACAGAGTGTGCAAAATTTGATTGAAATCAGTTCAGTAGTTTAGGAGTTCATCGCGGACAAACAATGTGACACGAAATTTTTATATATAAAGATTTATATATATATAAATATACTATCTGGCCAGGCAGACGATGTTCTGCCCTTTCCGACGACCCTTCCTATGAAATATCATTAAACTTGCAATAAAAAAATATTGAAGGTCACTTATTGGGATAAAAAGTATCCTATCTCTCAAGTTGGATCAAACTGTACACAGTGTGCAAAATTTCATTGAAATCAGTTCAGTATTTTAGGAGTTCATTGCGGACAAACAATGTGACACGTAATTATTATACATAATGATTTCTTCTGTCCGTGTGTATGTGGCTGAACTCCTAAACGGCTAGACCGATTTTGATGAAATTTTGTGTGTGTGTGTGTGTGTGTGTGTGTGTTTGATTAAATTATTCGAGAATGGTTTAGATTCACAATTAGACTAGGTGGCGCTGTTGTCGAGATCTAGAAATCACCTGGGGCGGATCGCTAGTATTTAAATATAAAGATTCTTAACTAATGACCATGATTAGTTTTTTTTTAAATTAAATGATGTGTGTACATTATTTTATTTGTAACCTGGTAAGCGTCATTGAAAGCGTGCGCAAGTGACAAGGCGAGCGCCCTCGCCTGCTTCCTGCGCGCGCACACGAACACGTGCACCACGTGGCTCTCGTCGGCGCCGTTCGTGTTCTTGCCCTCCACCACTGCGAAAACGCGCGCGTTGGCCGCGTCCGCCGAGCAGTACGATATTCTGTGAAGCGAAATCGTTAAGTTTATATCTTGTGCAGTGTCTACTGCGATGTATCACTATAGGGATACAATTTGGCAAAATATTATAACACCCAAACAACTTATTTTTTTAAGAAATAAAGGTAACAAACGAGCACACGTGGTAGAGCCATGCTGCAGCTAAATTATGGCTGTAGCACGAATGGGTCGGCTCGACCAGGGAACGACCACGCTATCACAGAATACCAGCGTAAAATAGCAGTTAAACGCTGCTGTGTTTCGTATGGTGAGTATAGAGAACCGGAGACCCTTTTTTACTGGAAACGAGGCATTCCACCATCTCACGGGTGACAACGCATCTGCATTTTGATTCTTAATCGAAGATCTATGTAGATGTCTATGAGCCACAGCAACCACTTCCCATCAGGTGGACTGTGTGCTCGTTTGTCACCCTTATCCTATAAAAAAAACACGTTCCACCTGATGATGGTAAGTGGAAGCTGTGACCCACAGACACTTACGTTTATTCTAGATTAAGAATAAGAATTAAATTGCAGATTTGTTGTCACCCTAAG